TCATTGATTAGAACAAATATACCACTCTGAGATGCTGATGTGAGGGAAGCTGAGCATATGTGGGGTCAGGTGGTGTATGGGAACACTGTGTACTTTCAATTTTTCTGTGAACCTAAAACTGCTCTAAAAAGCAAAGTCTATCCAAAAAAAAAAGGCATGAAAGACAAAAACTTGAGAAACCCTCACAAAATGAGATGAGAACAACTATAAAAAAAAAGACAGAGAAAAAGAATAGAAAAAATAGTTTATTTATAATAGTAACCAAAATCACAAGGTATCTAAAAATATATCAAACAAAAAAAGTACAAGGTTTTTCAGAAGAAATTTTTAAAAAATGTATTGAAGATTTGAAAAAAATAAAAGATATCCTAGGCTCATGGATGGAAACAATTATCTCCAAAATGACTCCCATAATCTATAAATTCAATATATTTTTAAAATTCCCTAAAGGAGTTTCATGAGACTTGACAAAACAAAACCAAAGAAACCAAGAAAAATAAGAAGAGACTTGCTTTATCCCCATTTCCCCCCAACCACCATCAAATTCTTATTTACAAAGCTTTGGTAATTGAAACAGGCACAGAGATAAATAGATCAAAGGAATACAGAGACTAGAAATAAATTCAAGTATATATAAACTTAGTATAAACTTAGTAGATAATCAAGTTAGCATCATATCCAATAAATGCTACTGGGGTAACTGGCTTAATATAAAAATTTGATGGTGGTTGGGGGGAAATGGGGATAAAGCAAGTCTTTTCGAATCGGTGGAGCACGAGGGATTTTTAGGACAGTGAAATTACTCTGTATAATACTGTAATGGTAGACACATGTCATTACACATCTGTCCGAACCCATAAAATGCACACCATCGAGAGTGAACCCTAAGGTAAACTATGGACTTTGGCAATAATGATGCGTTGATGTAGGTTCATTGATTAGAACAAATGTACCACTCTGAGATGCTGATGTGAGGGAAGCTGAGCATATGTGGGGTCAGGTGGTGTATGGGAACACTGTGTACTTTCAATTTTTCTGTGAACCTAAAACTGCTCTAAAAAGCAAAGTCTATCCAAAAAAAAAAGGCATGAAAGACAAAAACTTGAGAAACCCTCACAAAATGAGATGAGAACAACTATAAAAAAAAGACAGAGGAAAAGAATAGAAAAAATAGTTTATTTATAATAGTAACCAAAATCACAAGGTATCTAAAAATATATCAAACAAAAAAAAAGTACAAGGTTTTTCAGAAGAAATTTTAAAAAAATGTATTGAAGATTTGAAAAAATAAAAGATATCCTAGGTTCATGGATGGAAACAATTATCTCCAAAATGACTCCCATAATCTATAAATTCAATATATTTTTAAAATTCCCTAAAGGAGTTTCATGAGACTTGACAAAACAAAACCAAAGAAACCAAGAAAAATAAGAAGAGACTTGCTTTATCCCCATTTCCCCCCAACCACCATCAAATTCTTATTTACAAAGCTTTGGTAATTGAAACAGGCACAGAGATAAATAGATCAAAGGAATACAGAGACTAGAAATAAATTCAAGTATATATAAACTTAGTAGATAATCAAGTTAGCATCATATCCAATAAATGCTACTGGGATAACTGGCTTAGCATAAAAATTTGATAAAAAAATGAAAAGACAAGCTATAAACTGGGAGAAAATATTTGCCAGCCATGTAGCTGACAAAGGACTGGTAACTAGACTGTATAAAGAACTCTCAAAAATCAAAAGTAAGAAAACAATCCAATTACAAAAAGGGCAAAAGACATGAACAGACATTTCACTAAAGATGACATTCAGATGGCAAATAAGCACATGAAAAGATGTTCAATATCATTAGCCATTAGGGAAATGCAAATACAAACTACAGTGAGATATCACTACACGCCTATTAGAATGGCTAAAATAAAAAATAATAATAATAATTAAAATACCAAATGCTGGCAAGAATGCAGAGAACCTGGATCACTTACACATGCTAGTGAGAATATAAAATGGTACAGACACTCTGGAAAACAGTTTGGCAGTTTCCTAAAAAAGATAAAAAAAAAAACTAAACACACAACTGCCAAAATACCAAGCAATTGTACTCCTGGGCATTTATTCTAGAAAAATAAAGACATTTACACAAAAACCTGTACATTAATATTTGTACATGTAGTTTTATTCATAATAATCCCAAACTGAAAACAACCATAAGTCCTTTAATGAGTGAATGATTAAACATATTGTAGTACATTCATATGATGTAATACTATTCAGCAACAAAAAGTAATGAATTAGTGATGTACACAACAACCTCCAGAATGAATCTCCAGAGAATTACGGCAAGCGAAAACAGCCACTCCCAAAAGGTTCCATACTGTATGATTCCATTTACGTAATATATTCGAAATGACAAAACTATAAAAATAGAGAAAAGTAATTGCAGGGGTTAAGGAGAGAGTGGTGAAGGAGGAAAGTCGGCATAGCTATAAAAAAAGTAACATGAAGGATCCTTATGGTGGTGGAGACAGTCTGTATCATCGTCAATATCCTGGTTGTGACACTGTACTCTAGTTTTGCAAGATGTTATCCTAGGGAAAACTGGGTAAATGGAACAAGACATCTCTGTATTATTTCTTAACTGCATATGAATGTACAATTAACTCAAAATAAGAGAGCACATATAAAACGATTCCACTTTTATAAAGTCTGCACATTAATATATCATAATATAATATCTACATGTTAAAAGAGAAATGTCTGGAAATATATACATAAGAAAATAGTAATAGTGGTTATTTCTGTTGGTGATATGATGGGTGATTTTTCAATTTCTTCATATGTTCATACATTACCAAAGTTTTTTCAATGAGTATGATAATACTATAGTAGTAAGAAAAAGTAATCAAAGCTATTTTTATTATGAAAAAGAAAAGTAATACATGCTCATTGTATATGTTTTTCTACTAAACATTTTACTACATTAATTCATCAAAATATAATCTTTAAAGTTGCTCAACATTCCATTGCACTGAGTTCTCAATTTTACTATTTCTCTACTATGGGGACTTAAGGATTATTTTTAATTTCTTATTGTTAAAAAAAAAAAATGCAATAGTTCTCTTCTACCTGCATCTTCACATGCATCTGATTACACCCCATAGCCGGAACCACAATCATGGAGTGGAACATACTGAAAAATGGCTTTTCTAAGAAACTACAAATTTATGTCCCCATCTTTAGTGTATGTGTGAGAGACCATTTCACTCTGTCCGTGAGAAGCTGTCAAAGCTGTATTTGCATTCCGATCTCCATAGATAAAACAAGGAAGGAAAACAGTCACATGGCTACATCAAGGCATGATAAAGTTGACTTCCTATCAGTCTTCGACGGTGCATAGTCTAACATGTGTGAGTCTTGCTTACTCCTCTTCATTTCCCTTCACCTCCAGAAGTTCAAACTTCTTAGCCTGGCACCCCAAACCTACTTCTTTTCACCTTGTTCTCCTTGCTGCAGCCACTCTCATCTCGTTGCCCTCCCTCACAGCTCACACACACCACTGCCCAAATGCTCTTGTCTGCGTATCCACAGGGCCTGGCACCTCACCAGCTTCAGGTCTTTGCTCAGAAGTCTTTTGTCAGCGGCCTTCCCACCCAACTCTGTGCAAATCAGCAAACCCCTTCTCCAGCTTTCTTATCTGTATTTATTTGCTCTGTGTTTCTTCAACAATGACACACTCTAAGTTTTTAATTATTTCTCCAACTTCTTCTGGAACTAAAAAAAAAAAAAAAAAACTGACCTCCAAGGCACTGATACCCCAACTTGTACAGATTGTAAATTTTGTCTCCTTATGATTGCTCTAGCACACTTTATTTTTAAGCCCTCCCTCCTACAACCTTTATATTGATATCTTTCTCCATCTTGGCCTCCACCTGTGAAAATATCCACAACCTAACGCTGTTCACTAAGGAGCACTATTGATGCTGTGCTCTCTGTCCAATACCCTGTAAGTCAAGATTGGTGCTCCTTGCATCCTCCTCTCCACCTTTACAGCATCCAGTGTCCGTGCCCTCTACAGCAGCCAAATAACAAAGATGTAGTATAAACATAATTGGCAAATACATACTAAGGTGTGTGTGATTCAAAAAATAACTGAGAGAAAAGCAAATCCTTGGAGTTTCTAACTGGGAAAAGAAAGATGTAAAATAGATGGCCTGTGGTCTCAAGACATTTGCATTTCATTTAGTTCAAGTTTTCTCCGCTCTTTGATTTTATCATAGTCTTTCCACCTGAAAAGTCTTATTCTAGTTCGACATTATCCAAGAAGAATCTTGCTTGAGTTTGTATTCCATTCGGCACCGACCTCCTCCCTCTGAACAGCAAAGGATGCCTCTGTCTGACACTCCTCCTCTCTAAGGAAGTGTTTTTCTATTTCAGTGAGTCTCTATTCCATGCTGAATTTCAGTCTCTCCTCCAAAATGTATTTGAAAGCTCCCTTTTCCTATCTACATATGACTTCCACTGATTATTTCCTACAGGTATCAGGAATCAGATCCATGCAATCAGGCTTTTGCAAAATGATTGATTTTAAGTGTCATTATGCAATTAAATTATTTTTTAGCAGAAACTAGTTTGAGATAAAAAATATATATCTACCTTTATGTTATTTTCCTGTTATATAGGTAATGCAATGTGTTTGCTTTCTTTTCATGGAAATTTAGACTTTTTCATGTTTGCAAGAACTAGAAACATTTTAAATTTCATTTTTCCTTGAAATATGAAATACAGCAAGGCAGCGAATTTTTAAAGAACCATATGTAATATCCTGTGCTATTTTGAGGGTAGAATAAATGATTTAAAAAATACAATGATACTTTCTTTTCTGCATTCTACACCCAAACTTCCTGAAATACACTTAACTGCTCACTACCGCATCATATACGAAATATCCTCAAAGAATTAAAACCTTCCTCAGGCCTCATGAAAGACTACTTACCAGACTTCTTTGCTTTCAAAGCAATAACAGCTGCTAGTTCTCTCTGCACCTAATGAAATATTAGGGAAAAAATCAAATTAGAATAAGAAAAATGTAGTCATCAAAAGTGGTACTTTGTTTTTACATATGCAACCCAAATTAAGAGCGATTACAATTAGAGCTATGTTTGCTGCTACTGTTGTGTTTTTATCTGTTTTTAATAACATGGGAAAACCTCTGCATGAGAATCTTAGGTTAAAAATCTGGAAGAATCACATTGACTCACTTAAAAAAGAAATTAGAGTTGCCAAAATGTATATGTTGTAAAAACACTGGTATTTTTGCCATGATGATGAGAACACACTAAAATATAAAACTATAAAACATTCAGAAATAATGTAAATAAATTATTAAAACAAGTATGCTACCTTAGCAAAAAGGTGTTATTATTTATCTCTCAAAGATTCTAGTTTATCCAGAAATACTAGAACAATTAAGACAGGTGACCCTAGTTTAATTGGACCTCTGCTCAAACACAGTGAATTCACTTGATGTCTGACAGGGCTACAGCAACCAGCTTAGAAAATATGGCACATGAAAGCTAGTGCTATCGACTCATAGGGTAGGTGGAATGTGAATAGACAAGACAACCTTTAAAACTCCCCACTTATTGGTCCCGATTTTTGCTTGCTCACTTTCTCTCCACACCCCACACACTTTGAATGCTTAAATCCTTTCGTAAAAGTCTTCTCAAAGAGGAGCATAAAACAGAGACAAAAAAAGATAACCAAAGAGACTTTCTAAAGTAACATGAAAAAAAAAAAAAGATAACGAGGGTAATCTTTGGGAAATCTATGTTTGGTAGCAATAAAAATTCCATAATGAGCAAGCTCATTCCTCTTCAGGACACAATCTTTCAAGCTTAGATGTGTGTGTGTGTGTGTGTGTTTTCAGGTGTTTGGAGGTGGTGGTAGTGAGTTTGGAAGAGCCCTGCTAATTATATTTTAAAGGGAGAACATGGTAGTTCAAGGTTAAAGATTTACTATTGAAATGAATCTAATTTATATTCGTTCCATTGAAGGTGAAAGTAGCACTATCTGCTAGACACTAGGACTCCACTTAGGACCACTTTCAAAATGGCTAGGGCATCATCACCTTGAAGAAGGCAGCTTCACTGTCACTGCTTTACTGCCATGCTTTCCCTGGCTGGCTAGTCTGCATGTGATTCAAAAGGGTATGCTCTTGATTTGGCTGATTCTTTGATACCTTAAGACTCTCTCTGGAAAGTTATACAGTAATGAGAAGACAATCAGTCCCTCTCCAACCTTGGAAGTCTGAGCTCTGGAAATGCTTACAGTAGGAAAATTTGCTATTGAAGGATGTATGGGGAAAAAAGAGAGCTGGAAGAGATAGATAGAAGTGACCATAGGAAAAACGTTACAAATACTTGTATGGGTAGTCAAATAAAAATAACAATAAAATAAAACATCGATGATTGCATATTTTATGTATGTGAAATTGTTAGTAAGGTTTATTAACATCTCAAGATTGTCCTCCACCATGTCACGAATATTGAGAATGGGGCCAAGATACAGACCATAAATATTCACTAGGATCTTATCAATAGCTGCCTGATTTTATGACCTTCACGGGATGATCCCATCATGGCTCAGAGACAGAAAGAAAGCAGAGATGGAAAAAATGACACATGAGGTGGACCACTTCATTTGCTTACGGAGGATCAAGAACAAGTCTTCCCTCTACCCTCCTCTTTCAGTTTTCCATGCCTGAAATTCTCTTGAGTATCTTCGGCTTTTCTTTCTCAAACTAGAAATAAAGCCCCAAATATAAATAGCTCAGGAAAGGAAAGTATTATATCCCTACCACTGAATAACTACATCTTTCACAGATTTGTGAAGAAAGGGAGGAATGGATGGGCAAGAAATCAATACAACTTTAAAAGAAGTGGGCAGGGAAGGAGATGAGAGATGACAATGAGAAATAACTGCACAGTTTAATTTTGAAGAAACATAAGTTAAAAAAAAAAACCATAAAGTAAATGAGATTACTCTACTGTACTACACTCACCTCCCTGAATGTCTGTAGTCAGGGAGGATGTAAAAGTGTTTTGTGCGGGATGGGGTATAGAATAGCTTCCGCTGCCCCAGGATGGAAAAGGTTTTTGACAAAACCCCAAAGGTAGGTTATTCTTCCTACAAAACACAAACCACAAAGCATGGTCAAGGACACAAATTAGCTAAGATCCCATTATGCGCTTCTATAGTATCTTCACAGCACTTCTTTAAAGCACACTAGCAATCATTTAATCATTTTCAATTCTCTGACGAACACTTGTCTTCTGGATGGAAGCTCCACTGAGACAGAGACTTGTTTCTCTTTTTACGGCAATCAGCATTCATTCACTGATGCTCAGGGAGGCAGATGCATAGGCAACTTTAAAAGAAGAGGAAGGATTTAGGAGAAAGAAAAAGCTGCCTGAAAATCAAAAGAGAAGGCATTCCCCATTGATAAGCTACCCCTACGGGAATCTTCAGAACATATTAGGACTCAAGGCTTCCTTTGCAAATAACTGTTAGGTTTATATTGCAAACGAAACCTTTGAGCAACTGCAGAAACAGAAACTAGAAGTTTCTTTAAGTTACTAATATGGGACCTGGTGGCACTGAAGATACCGTACTCCAGCACAGTCAAGCCCTCAGTGGAATGACACTTGGCCCACATTTTGACAACCTCTTCAGAGACCCTGAGCAAAAACCATCCCGCTCTAAGTTGCTCCTGAATTCCTGATATTCCGGAACCGTTTGAGATAATAAACATGTTGTTTTAAACCATTAAATGTTTGGGTAGTTTGTTATGATGAAGAGTCTTTTATAGGACAATGGTTATTTTTGCATTTTATCTACTTGTGTTGTTGGTTAACCTTAGTTTCTCTCATCATAACTGAAATGGAACCTTCCTCTCAGGTCAGGCTGGAGAAATGCACACACCGAGAGCCAAGAGCCACATTCTGATATTGGCCATTTTGATTGAATGTGGGTGCTAAGCCATTACCTAGGTAATTAGAAGAAACGCATTCTTCTTAATCTGACAGGAAGTACCTTGGCCTTCTCTGTAAACAACTAAGTCAGAATCTCTGGGGGAGAGGCGCAGGCATCGGTATTTGCTGCGGCTGTTGTTTCACGGGTCCCTAAGTGATTATAGGTTGTATCCAGGGTTGAGAATCACTGCTCTATTCAATAAGATACCTTAGTTTTCCCAGGATTCAACCTTTTAATCTTATAATTATTTCAACTGACAATCAATCTTTACTTTTTATTTTGTTCTCCTCTGATTTAATTCATTTGTAAAGGAACATGACCATCACTGTGTTTTAGGTATAAAAATGATGCTATAATCCCATCAAATGGTAAGATTCAGTTACCACATCAGCAGTTTGACAGACACAGTCTACTGAAGTATAAGGAAAACTGCAAGGATGCTTTTTAAAAAGCTTAACTTTAATTTAAAATATAGTTTATTCAACAGAAAAAGAACTATATAATTCAATATACACCCGTAGTTTAGGGTATATTTGCTCTTGTAAACATCTAAATAGAGGATAATTATGAGATTGATAAGATGTATCTCAAAAATTTCCCTCTCGTGTTAGAATGCTCGGGTTCTCTGCCTTCAATATCCAGCAAGGCTGTTCACAAAATCGCCCTAAAATTGAACAGGAACAAGAGCCAATATTATTTTCAGCATTTTGTCTTCCTTCCTCTCTGGCATTATAATCGTGCCTTCAGCCTCAAAATCCAAATGCTGGCAAAGCTGTTTGCATCAATGCCAAGACTCAGTAGACAACAGAAAGTGTCACGCAAACTGAGTGATGGGGGGAAAGGTAAACCAAGAAGACATGAGCAGGCTTCCTGGAGCAAGAGGCCCTTGAAAACCAAGTGCAAAGCTGGACAGAATAAAAGTCATTCAGAGAGGACGAACCAATAGTGCAAAGGTCTTAGCTAACCAAAGGGCTGTCTTCACAAACTAATTTTGAGTAGAATCACCAATTCACAAATTTCCTAAAGGTTTTTAGTAAATCTATTAATTTTAGAAACGTTTAAATTTTACACCATGATAAAACTGTTTTAAAACACAGAACCCATTTTCTCAATTTCCTAAATGAAATCTAAGAAGAGGTATGATCCAATATTCTTCCCTGTTTTATTCCCAAATATACTCACTTATATCTCTATAAAATCTTAAGCTACTAAGGACTTTAAAAATTCTAGGGAAAAAAAAAACAAATAAATATGCTTCTTAAAGTAATTAACGTACTTTTAGATAAGACATATATGGAGCAGTGATGGTAGCTAGACTTTTGTCCCATAAAGGAATACCCATGGGCTAAGTAACTATTTTCTTTGTTCCTCGAAGCCTATTTTCCTATTCCCAAGTTCATTATTTTGTGCTGAAGAGCTAACATTGTCACAAGTCTGACATGTGAATAGTCCTGTGACTACCTAATAATGTCAACCAATAATTAGAAATTAAGAAAGTTATTTATATATCTGTCCAGATACTACTGCTCTCCACCTAATAGGTTATTTAACAAATAGTTGCTTTTCCAGTAATTGCTGTCACCACATCAAAGATGTGTTTGTTTAGCATGCTGGGCTGATAAAATATGCGTATGCTTACTCACCTATTTCAAGCTATTAAGGATATTTTAAAAATCTCTTACATAAACTTTTTTGTTGACTACATATTGATATGACCTATTAATTTTATTATAACTTAGACAATAGCTGACCGTTCAAAGACTAACATATATGTAGAAGTGGACTGAAAGTAACAAAATGGACAGGAATAAATTCCTACACTCAGGTTGTTAAGTCTGTCATTTAAGTCGGCTACACGTACATACATCTACTTGGACAGAGGTTCACATTAAAAAGATCCGATAGTTTTTAGATGATCACAAGCATGGTAGGAGTTAACAATGGAAATGAAATTACCTAGAATGGATAATAATCTTTTTAGGAATGTAACTAGAAGAATGACATTCAGGTC